TGTAAATGAAAAGTGAAAAAAGATGTTAAATTTCGATTATGTCTATTTAACCATCACACATTCATGCCATGGTTTGTAAGAAAGGAATCTGCAATCACATGATTCCCTACAATGTCTGAATTGTAAATTTGTGCCGACAAAGCAAATTCATTGACTTTCAAAGATAAGGTGGCTAAGCGACCAATCAGAAGTTGAGGACTATGTAATTTTTTTTATTTTTAAAAGTTTCAAATTAAACTATATCTTAGAAAATAAACCCACGTAGAACCTTCCTTTGAGTGCTTGGCGCCAATACAGTTCATGTTTGGGATATAATATCGCCAAGTCAAAGATGTGATAAAATCAACTGAGAGGTATAGTTTCGTTTGCTCCTCAGTTTATGAAGCATGCTATGTGCCAGATTACAGATTCCTGCTTAGACGACATAATTAAATTGTATTTACCTAGCTCCGGATTCGTAAAATATTAAACGGATATATCGTTGACGAAGATCGCAATTTGCCTCACAGACAGTGATATTCATTCTCGATATAATATAACCCTGATTACAAATCTTTTAGCCAATTGTATATGTAAATATTTACCAGATTTAACATTGAGAAAGTGTGAACTACAACGAAGCTATTGCTGAGAGAGGCGGTCGGATTGCCTTGTGGTTAAAGTGTTCGCTCGTCACGCCGAAGACCCGAGTTCTATTCCCGACATGGGTACAATGTGTGAAGGCCATTTCTGGTGTCTCCCGCCGTGATATTGCTGGAATATTGCTAAAAGCGGCGTAAAACCATACTCACTCACTCACTGTTGTTGAGAATATCAGTTATTAAATATTTTATATAAAATATATCCTTATAGTAGGTGCAATTACCAAACTTGGGACCACTTGATAGCGAAAGATGCCAATTGTGATCATAGTTATACAATAAACTACGTTTATAACGAACACGCTAATAACGAACTGACGGGTGTAATGAACCGTTTTTGGTCCCGTACATTTGCTGTATATATGCTGTAAATGTGCAGACAACAAACTACGGTTATAACGAACTAAATTTAGTGGTCTCTTTGAGTTAGTTATAATCGTAGTTTACTGTATTTCAATCGTGGAACAAATTCTGTAATAAACGATATACTATAATCTACTTCCTGTTACTACCCACACATACATGACCAAAACCATTGTCATACAAAAGGGATATAACTCTTGACACCCAGTTCATTTCACCATAAAAAAAGAAGCCGGTCATGCGTGTGCTCAGTAATAACTGTATAAAGGGCCATAAAATCAAAGATAGTTTTGTAAGATGCCGGGCCTCTAAAAGACGCCGGGTCAATTGTTCAGTGCAAAAAATAGAAGCCGGGCCTCTAATAGACGCCGGGTCAAAGGCTTAGCTACGAACACAAACTATTTCCATTTCGTGACGATTCGGGACATTCGTGGTCATAGTGAGATGGGGGTATTAATAGACGCCGGGCCTCTAATTGACGCCGGGTCAAAGGTTTGTCCGCTATAGATAGAAGCCCGGGCGTCTAATAGAGGAAATACGGTACTAACGGAAAAATAATCGTGCTTCAATTAAGAAAAAAATATTCTGAAATTAAATATGCATCTTTTTCAGTACGTATTCATGAAGACATCACCACGACTTTAAAGTCGTTATCCTCTATTCGCGTAAATAACGCTAACGCAATGCCACAGCTTGCTGAAAATTAGCGTCTGCGCGCCGTGGACATGCTGCAAACAGGAATGGCGCAAAACGAGGTTACTAGACGTTTGAATGTTCTCGAAACACAATATTGCCATTTTGTTAGATGTTTTCTACAGCAGGACAACAACTCATGACTTACTACGGGCCGGTCATTCACGTATGACATCACGTCAACAAGACAACCATATTCGGTTGGTGCATCTACGAAATCGATACCAAACATACACATGAACAGCTCGGACAATTCCTGGATATACCAACTAGTGGCAGAACCATAGGCAACTGGTTGGTCCAGACACACAGCGATACGCCCTATTTTGCTGCCACGTCATCGTCAGGCACACCTAGCCTGGTGTAGACAGCATCCGAGGTTGATGGTCCTGCAAGGGTCTACATGCGTCCGGGAGAACGTTTCAGCGACGCATGCGTACATCAGCGTCGTCAGTTTGGTGGGTGGAAGTGTAATGGTATGGGGTGACATCACAATTCATGGGACCACGGATGGAAATGCTAACACACACGTTGCACCTGCTGACTTTTTAAGGCAACATAACATTGCTGTACTGTTATGGCCGGCTGTTTCTCCAGACCTCTTCCCCACAGAACATGTCTGGGATGAGATGTATCGACGTCTACGACAGGATCAGAAGCAACCAGTTATGCTCGCTCAGCTGGGCCAATCTTTGGTTGACATTTGGAACAACAACCCCCAGGCTGTTTTCAATCATCTACATCATCAGCTGCCTCGCCTGTATCAACACAAATGGTGGTCGCATCCGATATTGACTTTGTTGATAAAGTTGTTAGACCACCTCTCTTTAAAGGCTTGTTGCTCTGTCTCCTGTTACCAGGTATGGGATTTGTCATTGAATTTGTTATGATAAAGCATTGATCAGACAATTGACCAAATATTATTTTGTGTTTGCAATAACAAAACATTTACACCTTTTATGAAGCAAAATTACTTTCCCCCCCGTTTTAAATAATTTCCACTGGAAAGTAAATGTTTTGCGTGTCACGTCATATTGAAGGAGTCCCCCAGAATCAGTGATGGATTGTTTGAACATCGACAACACGTTTCTTGTTTGGTATAATTAGAAATGAAGGCCTAATCAACCTTTGACCCGTGAAGATCCGGGTTGGAATAGGTCTTCAGCAACCAATGCTTTCCGTAAAAGGCGATTATGATTGTCGCAAGAGGCGATTAAAGGGATCGGGTGGTCAAGCTCGCTCACGTGGTTGATGCATGACATCGTATCCCAATTGCTTAGATCGATGCTCATGATGCCAATCACTGGATTGTCTGGTCTAAACTCGATTATTGACAGACCGCCGTCATACAGCTGGAATATTACGGAGTGCGGCATTAAACAACAAACAAATCAATCAAAAAATCTTGCATGTAAAGTAACAATTCGCCTTATGTATAATTAATGCGTTAGTTAGTGGAAGTTGTTTTTCGTTGCAGAAAATATTTTTGCAGTTTAATCATGGCGGCCTGTAATTAACCAAGTTTGGGCCAGATAAACCAGTGGGAGACATGAACAACTACTCGTGCCGTCGGTGTACGATAGCACATACTCAACCAATTCCCACACTGTAACCATCTAATCCCCCTTCTGACGACCATTAATGGGGACCTAGGACCTCTACCCTGATATTCTCTCTGCGTTTGAAATGTCATAGAATGTTACTCTTTTTGTTATTTATGGTTGCATGATAAGCACTGGGGTTTTCAAATAGAGCAATACTGTATGAATGCCTTCAACTAGATATAAAAGTATTTATTAATTATATATTTTGCAACAGTAATATTGATATATTTCATAAATATGTTTATATGATAGACACTTGTTGTATAGAATCGGCAGCCTTGAACATGAACCTGCTGTTAAAGTATTACATTATAGAATGATGTCGGTAGTTTTCTCTATATGAATAAATATTTGAATATATTTGATTAGTCTTTTGGTTACAAAATAATTTTCACTGTTGTTTTACACTGACACTTGTTTCCAAAAACTATTAAAAGATACTTTTTGATAATTCTCGAAATTGACTTCAAACACATTTTCTATTGAATGTATGCATGCTTGTTGAGACTGCATGAACTGCCGTTGCGTTGTAATGTCAGATGTAAAGAAGCTATAAATGTCAACCGAATTTGTAGGATGTGTAATACTGATAGCATTGAAGATGAACTCCATTTCATAATTACATACCGAAGGGGCATACTTCATCAAACAATTGTAAATTTAATAAATTCCTGACTTCTAATGATGTGTCAATCCTTAACAAATGTGCATTAAAGAAACTCTGAAATGTAAATATGCACTTGATAGTAAGTATATTGTGTCATCTACCGCTTAATTGCCATATAGATAGATAGATAGATAGATAGATAGATAGATAGATAGATAGATAGATAATATACGGAAAATAAACTTACTTACTTACTCGAAACCTACTTACTCATATGACCCTTGCCCTCTTATTTTGAGTTCGTAGTTTAGAAAAATAGACACTCGAGACCGGTTCATTCGTAATTGTTGACCGTAATCTTCGCAGTCAACATAGCATGCATTAATATGCCTAACAAAGCGGCGTTAAACTCCACCCAGTCTGTCAGTATGCTTAGCAAGGGCTCGACAAAGGTTGCAGCGGGAATGTACCAAGGATTTACAGAAGCGTTAACCTGCTACAACAGTGTGAAGATTTATGCGACAGCTGATCAGGTAAACTCTATTAACACTGAAAATGTGGATAAACGTTTTCCATATCTGAATCTACAGCTAGCGACAAGAATATTTCTTGAAAATGGCGCTTCATCTAGCGAAACATGAGCTTGAAGAGAATAGAATAGAAATATACTATTTCTACTCATTTGAAGTACTACATTACAGTTACTCAAAAATGACAATTTAGAACTGCATAATGTAGTAACTTTGAACTTATATTTATCAATCTTAGCTCAAAGCAGTTATACTACTTACTTACTTACTTACTTACTTACTTTGGAGATTTAACGTGCGCTTTCCGACTGATGCGTATTTCGCACACGGGCCCGGCCAGGCCATTTAATGTGTTTCCGAAAGGGGCGAAGGTGGACTGTGCAACCCAAGAGGGGGGTTTTAGGGGTTGCTTATATAGAATTTGGGAATTTTGAGATTTGGAATAGATGCCGATGGGATTGGGGAGGAGAACTAGGGGAGCTGGGTATGGTGGATGTTTGTTTGTTTATGTGATTTTGATTTGGTGAGTTATTGTGTTTTTAGATGCGTTTTATTAGTTCCGTTTTGATTAAGAATACGCCTAAGGCCTTGAAGTTTCAGATGAGGTTCAATGTTTTGATGAAAAGAAGCATGTGTTGTATTGCGAAATAACCGTATTATGTTTCTAAAAAGAAATTCACAACTACTGAACGTTTTCGACTATTGACAAATCTTCAAAAATTCAAGTTCTATAGGTGCGTCTATTATCTAAATGACATCGCCTGATACACGACGTCGAAAATACATTTGTTTGAGATTATTCTGTTGGTAAATATCAATCATCAGTGTTCATTATCATATTGTATTTGTTTCCAGTGTCTAAAGGGAATAGGACCACAATGAGCTCCCCGGTCAATGACAATTGCTTTTCGGTTAAGTTCCTTATAATCAAATGTCTTATTCCATGGACACTGCACCAAAATGTCGCTGAAGTCTGTTCTTTGTACCCCGGCTTTCATGGCCAACACAACACTCACATACACGTCATCCATGCTCATTAGTCTGTTGGTTTCAGAAACCTTGTACATGGCAGCCCAGCTTTCTGGAGTTGTCAGGTAGGCGAAGCCTAAACAAAATGGCGGCAGAGCAGAAAAGGGATACTCCGATTCTGGGGTGTGCCATTTTGACCTTTTGTTTCTGATAGGACCTTGTCCTCGTAACAATTTACATCCAATAGTGAGCCCTTCAGGTTTAGTGCTCAGAATGTGGTCAATAATTCTGTATGGGTTCACAAACGTGTCGTCATCCAACTTCAATATATGTTTCGCGTTGCAGTTGTACTTGAACCAGTGCATTGCCATGATGTGTTTTCTCACAAGATTCTTGTAGGAGTCTGGGAAATTCCCCTGCACAATATCGCCATACATTTGGGACTCGTATCGCAAAGCATCCCGTTCTCGTTGTTGCTTCGGCGCTGCTAACATGAATACAACGGTTTTATGTCTGTCTCTGTAAGATCCAATCGATCCAAAGGTTTCTCGTATCAGATTCCTCTTTTTGGTATTGCCAGGAGCTGAATGAATGATAATAACCAAGAAAGTGGAACCAGATCTACAAGCATTTGTGTTAAGGGAAAACTGGAACCTGTGAAGATTAACAAAATGGTCTTTTGTCTCATTAGACTTCAGTTGAAAGAATTCCGATATTAAGGGAGATATGTCTTTACCTCGTACTAAGGTAGGAGGGAATACTGTTGTTCCTGTTGGTGGCGTTGCTGCTGCTGTCGAGGAAGAACGACGTGCTGATGTCACGGTAGGCAACGTGTCTGACATACGTTTCCTCGTGTGTGTTGCGTTAGATAGGTGACCCTCATGAATTCCATGTGAAGAAAGGTTTCCCATAGGACGAGCGACGACGTTCGTTCGACCATTTACCACCCCATAATTTACGGTGACTTTGCGAAGATTGTCTTGTTTCAATGTCGACCGATTTGACATGGCCCATGTACTGATATAAAGGTACACGGATATGCACAATAACACGACACTGGAGTAGAAGTATCTCCGTTGAAATATAAAACCCATCACCAATCCGTGAACTGCTCAACAGTTGTCTGGAGCCCAGGGGTCATATGACCACTTGTTTCAATACTTGGCGCCGTAATCTGAAACAAATATATGACAGTTTCACAAGTTGAGAGTGCGCATGCCTGTAATGACTATGAGTGAGTGAGTATGGTTTTACGTCGCTTTTAGTAACATTCCAGCAATATCACGGCGGGGGACACCAGAAATGGGCTTCACACATTGTATCCATGTCGGGAATCGAACCCGGGTCTTCGGCGTGACGAGCGAGCGCTTTAACCACTAGGCTACCCGACCGCCCCTGTAATAACTATGAGACAAACAAGGCCGAGTGAAACACCCGACCGATTAAGCTGTTCAAGTTTTATCACGTGTTTATGTTCACTAGTTAACTAGGGTGGTGTGAACCTTCTCATTTCTGCCTCAGAATACATTGCGTTTAAAACATAATCCAGCCATATAACCGAAGTTGCAACCACGACTGGTGATCACACATTGTACCCATGCGATAATTTAACCCCCAGTGTATATGTAGAGGAGAACGCTATTCCTTTGATGTCTGTTGTGCAAATTCGATTAGCAAAATCTTTACCAAATATTAGTTTAAGATATTTGACAAGTTGACCATACAGTTTTGGAATACAACTTCACCTTGAACCATTAATAATTTCTGCTTAGTTTACAACTTTCCTTTTCCGGACCAAAATATGTCCTGGATAAACCATTGGCTATTTGTTATAAAATATTTCCATCAACATCGATCGAAATCAGTTACAGCATCTGATTATTAACTTCCTTGTGGTTAAAGCCTTCTCTCTTCACGGGTTCGATTCCCAACATGTGCAGAATGTGTGAATTCTATTTCTAGTATCCCCTGCAGTGATATTGCGGGAATATTGCTGAAAGGGAAGAAGAACACATACTCTCTCACCCACCATTCACTTTATCATGCAACTAGCATTGCTACTGCAATAATGAGATACAGTAAACTACGTTTATAACGAACACGCTTATAACAAACTGACGGATATAACGAAATGTGTTTTGTTTCCGTCCATTTGCTGTACTTATGCTATATATAATATATGCTTATAACGAGCAACGGTTATAACGAACTAAAATTAGTAGTCCCTTTGAGTTTGCTACAACGTGAGGTTGCTGTAAATTAAACACGGTAATAAAGTTCTGACTTAATATGGTTAACGCACGTAATCATTGTACATATGAGGAAAGTAATTCACACACTTTGAACAACTTCCCGTAACCGAAACGAATAACTTCAGATAAACTGTGGGGGCACGGGTGGCGCCACAATTCGCCACAATTCGCGTCCCTTAGACACCCCAGAAACCTATGATTGTGGGTTCGAATCCCGGTTCGCCCCGATTATGTTTCTAGGTTTGTCATCACCATACCCGTACTCGTGGGTTTCACCGAAGTGGTAAACGTCGAAGACCTGCATCACTTCGGACGTTAAAAATGGTACTTGTTGCTACCCTGTCTCGCGCTCGGCATTAAGGGGCTAAAACAAGGACTGGTCGGCTCGGAGTCAGTATACTGTGTCTGAGTGGGGTATTCATGTTAAACTGCGGCATGGTATCTCAGCGTGCTAGCACTATAAATCGGCATCAGTCCGGACTAGTACAAGCAGCCACACACACACACATACACGTGCATGCACGTCGCCATATAAGTGCAATAATCTTGGACGCGACGATAAACCCCATTTCACCTCACCTCACCATACCTCACCTCACCGACATCGAGCTGAGGGTGTTGCGTTCGCGCGACAATTTCTCTTCTTTATGCAGCTATATGTATAGGGGAATGTCCGAGTAACTCTCCATTCCTTAAAAATAATGGAGCAGAGGCCCCGCAGGGGCCGAGGCCCATTATTTTTAAGGAATGGAGAGTTACGAGGATATTCCCCTACTTAAAACTCATCCCTACTTTTACACTTTGACGAAATATTCTGTAGTTGAAAATATTTGAAAAATACAAAGTCTGCTTCAAGATGATGTACAGTTGAAAAGCAACTCTCCCTTCCTGAAAAATAATGGAGCGTTCAAACAATAGAATGACGTCACAGATGTGTTTTAATTCGTGTTAAACATGTAAGGGGAAAATGTATTTTTGCCACGCAGTCAGACTGTATTCTTTTGACGGAACATGACGCTTTTATACAGTAAGGTTAGTCCGGTAGATGAAAGGTTACAGAATCAGATGCTTATAATTATAAACCTTCGGTTATATTGAAGCAAAATACATTCGGGGTGAGGTAAAATGGGTGAGTTGAACGTCTGCTGAAGATTCTTGCACTTATATAGCAACGCTTGTGTGTGTACGCGGACAGGTATCGAACACCGATCTTCCGCTCTCCTGACATATTTATCCACTAGACCACAGAGGAGGCCCCATGCTACTTAGAAGACGAGACTACACTCAAGTCTTCAAATAGTATTCAAGTACTATATCAACCTGAGAACGGAGCGACTATCTACATACCGTGAATGGATAAACTGTATGGATAACTGTATGTATTTTATGAAAAAATAAATAATCTAGAAGCGCATATAAAAGCAAGTCTAGCCAGCTCAAGCTAGCTCTATTCTGAAATCAGTAAAGGGGATTTTTTTTTTTAGAGTCAAGAAGGATATTGTGTAATATAAGATTTCAGAGACTAAATGTTAGTCTACTTGCAACCTCATGTAAACAGACACCGTTTTGCGTTTTCGCGAACAATTTGTGTGATCACTGATTTTCATTGATCCATTCATTTATACTTTGCGGCTATTTTGCCTTAAGCCAAATGGAATATGTTTCGGTGGATGCCACATACTTTTTCAACTCTTCAGCAGATTCAATGCCTTTGGCAATTCGATTTTTTCTTGGAATCCGAACCTCTTTGAAGACAGTTGTTTCGACATAACGGAATGGAATAATTGTATGTGTTTAGTTTTATACAGGTTTGAAATTAATGGAAATATAAAGCCATGCCTCAACTGTTTCCATATGATGAGACATTGATGCAAATGACGCTTGTTTGTTTGTTGTTTAACGCCGCACTCAGCAATATTCCAGCTATTTGACGGCGGTCTGTATATAATCGAGCCTGGACCAGACAATCCAGTGATTGACATCATGAGCATCGATCCACGCAATCGGGATACGATGACATGCATCAACCATGTCAGCGAGCCTGACAACCCTCTTACGATAAGCGTAGTCGTCTTTTTCGGCAAGCGTGGGTTGCTGAAGACCTATTCTAACCGAATCGTCACGGGATGCAAATGCCGTTTGAAATATATTTGACATACTTCAGTAATTATCGATAGTCTTTATGTCCCATTACTGGTATCATTACAATTTGATAGTGATTCATAAACACATGCTCATGATATTGTCGGAATCGTACAATCGATTCTGCTTTATACAGACATGCAACGCCATGGCGTGGAGAGGGCGTCATAATGGAGATTGTGTTGGGTATTGAGCCTTTTAATGAGCAGCTACTTGGATTCCTTTGTTCTGACATTGAGTGAGTGAGTGAGTTTTGTTTAACGCCGCTTTTATCACTATTCCAGTTATATCACGGCGTGTCAGCTTAATGTGTGAGGAAAGCCCGAAATGATGCAGGTCTCAAACGTTTACCACTTCGGTGAAACCCACGAGAACGGGTATGGTGCTGACAAACCTAGAAACATAATCGGGACCAACCGGGATTCGAACCCACAATCATAGGTTTTTGGCGTGCCCAAGGGACGCAACTCTGCACAGCGAATCGCGGCGCCTTAGACGACTGGGCCACCCGTGCCCCCTAATGACATTGAGAGACAGGGTCTAAACCATGCAGAGATGTATTGATGTATTCTAAATTGATTTAGGGCGTTTGCCTGGCTGCATTTTCAACGGTAAACCCACAAATATTATACACTCAGAATAACCGCCACTAAAACATTTATTTTTGTCATATCTTTGGAACTAAACATGATGGAACCACAAAAAACATTTCTCTTTTGTCTTCAGATACAAGGAATCTATTGAACCATACGTTAACCCTCAATATGTCAAGAAATCAAGATGGACGCCATTTTAGAACAAATCCGATCACTAACTGCGCCCGATGCAAACAGTGACATATGTCCATGAGTGACCTAATCTTATCATTCTGTTATTAGTTGTAATGTAGGGGAAGCTAACTGTAAATGATACAACTATACAGTCGAACCACGCTTATCCGGACACTTGCGTTTTCTCCAATATTGTTCGGATAAACGAGTTTCCGGGTATCTGAATCCCTTAACTGACCAGAATTACCCTCCTTACACAAATATTACCGGGGTATATGTGAAATGAATTGCAGAAGTACTATTTGTAAAGGATCGACCGATTGATAAATACAATACACAACGACAGGGCTGCGACTAAGCCGTTTATGATTGAAAAAGCTATGTTTAGCCTAGTTTATATAATACACTTCTATATTGAGTGAGTGAGTTTAGATTAAATAGATTTATAGTCACATCGGCAATATTTCAGCCATATCATGACTAAATGAAGTTGTTCAGTAATAATACATAATTATAGATTATAAAATCTTCCGACAAAGGACAGTCAAAGCATTAGAATATCACAGGTGTTGATTTAAAACTAGTATGTAACTATAAAAATGTGACTATCACAAACGATACATTGTAAAAATGGACTAGAAATCACCATCAACCAAAGTTAGGCCACCATACTAGGGACCATGGGGACTTACGGTACCTCTGCTTCCTACATGGTACCCTAGCAGGATTTACACCATCCCTCTTGCTAGTGGTGATTGTTAGAAAGTTTGAGCCAAAACATTTAAAAACTACATTTATTCTACGATTAAAAACATGGAAAATGAAAAAACTTTGAATGAAATGGGACTTACGTACCTTCTCAGGGGGACACACTTGTTTTGAATATAGTTGTGAGGGATAGGTTTAGGCAACCTGGCACACATAAACATTAATTATATCATTGTACCTCCACGAGATGAAGCTCGTTCATGTGTGAAAAATGTAATATAGATATTTATCATATAATGGGT